GTGTGTGTGTGTGTGTGTGTGTGTATGTGTGTGTGTGTGTGTGTGTGTGTGGCTGTGAGTGTGTGTGTGTGTGTGTGTGTATGAGTGTGAGTGTGTGTGTGTGTTTAACACAGCTCGCCACTTGCTGCTCTAATTAAAGCAGCTACTCACTGAAGAGAGGAAGTGGTTAAGAGAGGAGAAGAAGAAGAAGAGACAGAACAGAAGATACATAATCATGAGGAGGTTTTATCATCATGATGATGACGAGGAGGAGGAGAGGAGGAAGAATGTGAAAGGGAAAAGAAAAGAGGAGGAGCAGGAGGAGGAGTCTTACATGTTCTTGGCGATGACTTGAGCATCTTCCTCTCCTCCTGACGACACAAACTCAAACCTGATCTTCATCTTCTGTCGAAACAGAGAAAAGCTTCATGTGAGGAAGATGATAGTCTCCTCTGTCTGAGTGTTTCCTCAGAGCACACACTCTGTGACATCCCATAGTGCCGCCGTGCAGTATGGAAACCCATCAGCATAATGATATTTCAGTGGAAACCATGGCAACGGGTTCCATAAAAACCTTAATGTGTTATCTCTCTTCAAGCCTGCAGCCCCACACACACACACACACACAACACACACACACACACAGCAACACACACACACACACACACACACACAAACACACACACAGCAACACACACACACACACACAGCAACACACACACACAAACACACACACAGCAACACACACACACACACACAGCACACACACAGCAACACACACACAGCAACACACACACACACACACACATACACAGCAACACACACACAGAGCAACACACACACACACACACAGCAACACACACACACACACACACAGCAACACACACACACACACACACACACACAGATTAAACATTGCCTATTAAACTATTAAACTAGGATATAAACACACACACATTCTGTAGTAACTGTGTGTGTGTGTGTGTGTGTGTGTGTGTGTGTGTGTGTGTGCGTGTCAGACCTGCATGTGTCTCTCCATGAACTTGGTCTTGAGGAGTTCTGCAGCTGACGGTCTGGACGAAGGTTGTTTGTGCAGCATCCTGTGTCAGGAGGAGGAGGATGAAGAAGAGGAAGAGGAGGATGAAGCTGGTTCATCATGTCTCAGTGGTTTCATGTGTGAGGAGGAGCTGTCCGTCCAGTCAGGACCAGCCTCATCAAACTCATAATCAGTCGTTAATTAAAAGTGTTTTGTGGGGTCAACTTGACCTTTGACCTTTGACCACCAAAATCTAATCATTTCATCCTTGAGTCCTAGTGAATGTTTGTACCAAATGTGAAGAAGCTCCTTTAAAGTGTTTCTGAGATATCGAGTCCACGAAAATGAATAACACGGACACCCTGAAAACAAGATGGCCGCCGGCTCTGACTGTCTCCGGGCGGAGGAATAAAAACTCATATAGTGGAAGAGGAGAAAAGCCTGTATTGATCCTCCAGTCACAGTTTACCTGGAGGCACCAGGAGGGCGGAGCCTCCTCCTCACCTCTGCAGGACGGAGTTCAGATCAGGGGAGAAGGAGGCGGGGAGCGTTGGGGTTTCTCCCTCCACGATCTTCATCACCACGGACAGGAAGCTCGGCCCCCGGAAGGCGTGAGTCAGACAGCACATCTCAAAGAGGAGGCAGCCCAGAGCCCTGCAGACCAGAACCAGCACAGACCAGATCAGCAGCTGGACTCAGAACCAGCACAAACCAGGAGGATCAGGAAACATCTGGACGTGTCTGTTGCCACTGGAGACTTTAAACACTCGGATCATATCTGAGAGAGCACAGAGGTCAAAGGTCATTTCACTCAAGGTTCCTAATGAGAAGAGTCCACCTTCATTAACTAACACACACACACACACACACACACACACACAGAGCAGTCAGAGGTCAGTTGTTATAATTAGAGAAGAACAGGTCAGAGAGGAGGAGG